ACACTGGTAAATAAGACCAGTAAAGTTCTTATCTCCATGGAATTTGCCTTGTAATAAGAAATCTAGTAACTATAAGTAAATTCAAAGTACATTATCAAGTAATAAAAGAGTGCTATGAAGGAAAATAAGCAGAATAAGGGGATAGAGAATAGTGTAGGATGGGAAGTCTTTAAATTATGGTGAAAGGCACATTCTGTTTTCAACTTTTCCCATAAATTCTAGCCAGAATATGAGTCCCATTTGCCTTTTCCATTTATTTACTTTCTCACTTAGGGGAAATATTAATGTAATAGATTGAAGTACAGTAAGCCCTTGCTGTAATCTCTGCTTTTGTCCTCTTTTCATCTCTCATTGTACTTGTTAGAAAAGATTTCTTAAACTGAGCTTGGTAGTGCAAACCTGTAATCCTGGCACTCAGAGGCTGATGCAGGAGGATCATGAGTTCAAGGCCAGCATGAGCTTGGTAGTGCAAACCTGTAATCCTGGCACTCAGAGGCTGATGCAGGAGGATCATGAGTTCAAGGCCAGCATCTGTCGGAATGTTTCTAGTGGTAGAGTTCCTAGCAAGCATGAAGCCCTGAGTACAAACCCTCTAGTACTGCCAAAAAAGTTTAAGGCCAGTTTGGGCTGCATATCAACACCCTGTCTCAAAAATGTTTTTTAAAAATGCCAATGGATTATGAGTCATTTAAGTGGTAAAGAGTGGAGAGAACAAAATGAGGAAGAAGAGTTTTGGCTTGAACAGCTGAGTGAACTGAAGCAAAATTTACTGAGGAAGAGCAGGTTAGAAGTTTCATCTTAAGAGTTTGTTTTGGTTATTTTGAGTTTGAGATGTCTATTATTCATCCAGTTTGAGGTGTGAGTAGGCAATTGTATAAGTACTTCTAGAGCCAGGAAGACATTAAGGCATGGTAAACATTTGAGTGTCTTCACTTTTATGGTTGGAATGTATATCCATGGGTTTGGATGTAGTGACATAGGAAGGCATGCCAAGTAGAAGAAAGAAGGTAAGGAGAACAGGCCTGAGAGCTGACTCATGGAGCCTTCTGCCATTTAGGTCTTTGAATTGCGGGTTCACAGAGAATATAAAGAAGGAGCAGCCTAGCTAGGTGCCAAAGGCTCAGGCCTGTAATTGTAACCCTCAGAAGGCAGAGATTAGGAGGATCCAGTTTGAAGCCAACCAGGGCAAGCACTTTGTGAAACCCTATCTCAAATATACCCAACACACACACACACACACACACACACACCACACACACACACAACCAAATTTGACAGAATGGCTCAAGTGGTAGTGTGCCTTCCTAGCAAGCATGAAGCCCTATATTCAAATCCTAGTACCACCAAAGGAGCAGCCATTGAAATAAAAAAAAAAAAAGCAAAAGTAAATGTTTCTGTTTGGAGGAAGTAGAGAGTGAGCACTGAGAATTGACCCCAGGTTCTACTAAATGGAGAATGCTGGTGAGTGAGGTGTAATAAGAGAGGTGCAGGTGTGAGGCAGAGATGCAAGGAGTATAAGACAACTGTTTGGAGAATTAGGTATGAAGGGAAGCTGGGAGACAGGGTTGTAGTTACACTGGGGACATGGATTGTAAGCAGTGCTATTTATGATATATTAGAGCACATTTGTGTGCTCAGGAAATCATTCTGCAAGTAGAAGTCACTGATTTAGAGAGGGCGTAATTGTGGGATCAGTGTCTTTAAGACTGAGGTGGCAGAGGGGAGGGCAGTGCGTTATGCATTCAGGTAGGTGGTCGGTGCTGGAGAGAGAAGCATGTTTTTTATTGCTGTTTCTCAGTGAAGTAGATCATCATAGAATAGAAGGACTGTTCCATACAAGTTGACATTCCTAGTCTGAAAATAAGTGTGTCTTTCAATGTGCCGTTAAGGAGAAAATTGCTGTGTTTTTGTTTTGTAAGCCATCTTTCTATTTAGTGCAGTATCACTTTATGAACACAGTTTGGAAGTTCTCAGTTGAAACAGAAGTAGGTTGGCTTATCTTTCCAACCTAGGAAACTTTTTAAAATTCTTTTTCTTGGGAAGAAGGGAATGAGAATGATAAGTCCAACCACATTCTCTATTTGCACTTTGGTAATTGATCTATTTAAACATTACATTTTTTTGATGGTCAGTTAATATTTCCTGAAAAAAAAGCCATTTTAGCTGTGTGTTTAAATTTTAAGAGCTGTTATTTTTCCAGTTATCTCTGTATATGATTTATACTATTCACTTTGTCATTTTTGTTTTGTTCTGCTCTGCTTTTTTCGACAGGATTCTAATGTGTATCCCAGGCTGCCTCAAAGTAGCAATCCTGCCTGCCTCCTGATTGCTGGGGTTACAGTCTTCCTGCCACCATGCTGGCTTACTTTTTCATTCTTATTTCTATGCTTGTTCTTTGTTTTTGATCCTGGACATCAGAAATGCTATGCAAGCACTGTACCCCTGAGCTATATCTCCAGCCCTTTTATATTTTATTTTGAGATAGAGTTTTGCTAAAATTTCCAGACTGCTAAAGCTTTCAATTCTCTTGCCTCAGCCTCCAGAGAAGCTGGGATTACACTCAGGTACCACCACTCCAGGCTCGTTTTCGTTGATTAAACACAATTTATCTATTTTACTAATTTAAAAAAATCCAGCTAAGTGCTGTTGGCTCACAGGAGGCTGACTGGAGGATTGCAGTTCAACACCAGCCAGGGAGGGAGGTTCACAAGACCCCATCTGTACCAATAGTTGGGTGCAGTGGGTGTGCGTTTATCATCCCAGACTATGTGAGAGACTGAAATCAGGAGAATTGCTGTTGTAGGCCTAACCCCATTTTTTCTTTTTTTTTTTTTTTTTTTTTTTTGCAGTGCTGGGGCTTGAACTCAGGGCCTACACCCTATACCTTGAGCCACTCCACTTCACCAGCCTTTTTTTATGAAGAGTTGTTTTGAGATAGAGTCTCACAGACTAATTGCCTGAGCTGACTTGAACCCTGATCCTCCTCATCTCTGCCTCCTGAATAGCTAGAATTACAGGTGTGAGCCACCAGCACCCATCGTAAGACCCCATTAAAATGGAAAAAAGCTGGACATGTGGCATGCTCCTGTCATCCCAGTGGACTGGAAAGTGTAAGATAGGAGGTTCACTATCGAGGCCGTCCTGGGCAAAAAGTGAGCCCCCATCTCCAAAATAACCCACACAGAAAAGACTGGAGGTGTGAATCAAGTGATATAATGCCTAGCTAGCAAGCCAAAGCTCTGAATTCAAACCCAGTACCATATTGTAACTAATTCTGCCATGATAGGGTCTCACGAATTATTTGCCCAAGCTGGGTTCAAAGAGCGATGCTCCTGATCTCCTTAGTGTAGCTAGTATTATAGACGAGAGCCTCCAGTGCCCAGCTTGACTAGGACTTTTAATGACTTTTTTCTTTTATTTTTACCACTGTGTTTTAGTTTTTGAATGTTGTTCTTAACACTAATGTTATACTTTATAGACACATGTATTTTTTTAACCCATGGTTTTTTAAAAACAAAGAAGCAGAGGAAAAAACAAACTCAGTTGAAGTGGATGAGTATTAGGATGGACAGATGTAAGGGGAGGTGTTCCTTAGCAGTTTTGCCATAGTGTTGAGACACAGGAAAAGCCATGTGTAGCTTTTCGAAGGAGGAAATGGGTATTGCAGAAGGCACTGCCTAGAAGAGGGTGTAAAGAATGGATGGATGTATATGAATATGCAGCCACCTTTTCCATTCGTTTATTTAGCTCAGATGAATTTAATCATTGGTGTAGAGTGTGAGAGATTACAAGCAGAGAACACAAGTATATAACTATGAGAAATAAATGAGCCAAAATCTATTATGTTCTATGGGTGTGTTATTTTACAGAGTAAATTATGATTGGCTTTGTCTTTTAGGTTTATAGGTAAGGATAAGCAGAGTAGAATGGGGGTTCTAGCTCAGTGGTAGAGTGCTTGCCTAGCATGGACACTGCAAAAAAAAAAAAAAACCCAAACAACAAACAAAAAGCAGTGAGAACTGCAAAAATTATTAAGTATATGATTTAAAAATTGAGAGATAATACACAGGCAATGAATGAAGAATAACAACATAGATTTAGGTACTGTTACATGAAAGGGTAAGCATCAAAGAAAGTGATTTTGGTCAAAGACCCCAGGATGTGAAGGAACCTACCAGGCAAAGAGCCCAATCAGGAGATTTGTGAGAGATAGAGCACACTGTGCAGATCCTGAGAGAGGAAAGTTAAGTTGAAACATGTAAGATTGATGGGGCACCTCTCAGGTAGAAGTAAATGGGACAGTGGTTTGAGGTGTATTTTAGGTAAACAAAACCTTGTCAACTACAATGAGTTTGATGTTTTTCCAGGCATAAGAGTGAGATGGTGTTGTTGAAAAATTAAAGTACAGATTCCTAATGCTTCATCTCCATCAGAATCATTGTGTGAAAAATCTTAATGGTTCTCGTAAAATGTAGAACACAATCTAGGTGATTTAGGTGGTGTTCAGACCTTAGATTGGTAACAAGCTTCTCAGTGATTCTGATCCATACCTCAACCAAGAACCACTGACTTAAAATGCTTGCTTAATTATCAATCTTACTTTCTACTGGTACTTTTTGCTTTTTTTTCTTTTATTGCTTGTATAACAATACTTCAGTGTTTGATTAAAAATAACTTCTGTTGTCTTTTCTATAGAAATTTTACTTCTTTTAGAAAAGAAAATAACATGTAGTTGTTTTATTTTGTTTTAGATTTTGAAACTAGGTATGAGACCAAGAAGTTATTTTTAGAAAATGATATTTATGAAATAAATTTGTCTCAGTGGAAGATAACAGAAAGAATTAAAAACCATGCCCTTAAGGACCTCTCTTTAAAAACTGATTGGGAGTCCAAAAGAAAATCTGAAGGACAAGAGGGACATCAAGAAGGATATTTCAGTCAAGTGAAAATCACATCCAAAAAAGTGTCCTCTTACCAAAAGCGCTCATCTACTCCTCCACATCAGAGAATTCAATTTGTGGAGAAACCCTATGAATGCAAGGAATGTGGGAAGGCTTTTAAAGTGCGCCAACAACTAACTTTTCACTATAGAATTCACACTGGTGAGAAACCCTACAAATGTAAGGAGTGTGGGATGGCCTTTAGACAGACTGCGCACCTTACTCGACATCAGAGGCTTCATTCTGGTGAAAAACTCTATGAATGTAAGGAATGTGGGGAAGCTTTTATATATGGTCCCGACCTTCGAGTGCATCAGAAGATCCACGTTGGTGAGAAGCCCTATGAATGTAAGGAGTGTGGGAAGGCGTTCAGAGTGCGAGGACAGCTTACTCTCCATCAGAGGATTCATACTGGTGAGAAGCCCTATGTGTGTAAGGAGTGTGGGAAGGCCTTTAGACAGTACGCACACCTCACTCGACATCAGAAGCTTAATACTGCCGACAGAATCTATGAGTGTAAAGAATGCGGGAAAGACTTTTTGTGTGGCTCTGGTCTTAGAGTACATCACAAACTTCACACTGGTGAGAAGCCCTATGAATGTAAAGAATGTGGGAAGGCCTTTAGAGTTCGACAACAACTAACACTCCATCAGAGAATTCATACTGGTGAGAAGCCCTATGAATGTAAGGAGTGTGGAAAAACATTTAGTCGTGGTTATCATCTCATCCTCCATCATAGAATTCATACTGGTGAAAAACCCTATGAATGTAAGGAATGCTGGAAAGCCTTTAGTCGTTATTCACAACTTATTTCACATCAGAGTATTCACATTGGCGTTAAACCCTATGACTGTAAGGAATGCGGGAAGGCCTTTAGACTACTCTCACAACTCACACAACATCAGAGTATCCATATTGGAGAGAAGCCCTATAAATGTAAGGAATGTGGGAAAGCTTTTAGATTGCGCCAAAAACTTACTCTACATCAGAGTATTCATACTGGTGAAAAACCCTTTGAGTGTAAGGAATGTAGAAAGGCCTTTAGACTTAATTCTTCTCTCATTCAACATTTGAGAATTCATTCTGGTGAGAAACCCTATGAATGTAAGGAGTGTAAGAAGGCCTTCAGACAGCATTCACACCTTACCCATCATCTGAAGATTCATAGTGCAAAAATATAAGGAAGTCTTATCAATGCTGTGTTCCAAAACATTCCATGAGTGTCATAATCTTTTGTTTCATACATGTAACTGACTTCCATAGGAGGTTTTATACTATTAAAGGAATCTTAATGGGTTTTACCATTGTGTTCCCCAATCTGCATTCTCAGACCTCAGCATATTTATTTTAACGACTAATCTAGTAATATAGCACATGCAAAAGAGATACTATCTTTATCCCATTAGTTTTCTACCTGTGTTTATTAATCAAGACACTTAACTGCCTGGGCTGTAATTTCTTCCCTTATAAGATGGTGATAAAAGACTGTGGCAAAGGTAGCTGCAAATTCTTTGACACTCTTTCCATTAAGAGATGGAATCCTCATTACCTTGAATATGGACGGACTGTTCTGCTTTTTCCACAAAAAAAGTAGTAGAAGTACTGTCGTGGCAGTTTCTGGATCCAGGCTTTACTGGTAGGGTTTCTCAAGCCCTGAGCTTTCATGTTAAAAATCTGGCCACTGCTGGCTACTGGTGGGTCACACCTTTAATCCTAGCTACTCTGGAGGCAGAAATCAGGAGGGTCACAGTTCAAAGCCAGCCTTGGCATAAAAAGTGAAACATCACAAAAGTACCCAACACAGAAAAAGAGTGGTGGAGTGGTTCATGGTAGAGCACTTCTGGTGGTAGCAGAATCCCTGCCCAAATTCCTGATCCACACAATCATATAAAACAATAAAATAGCTGTTATAAACCTTTACATTTTGTTTTATTATCCTTGATAATTCTCTTTTGAGAATTCATATGGGAGGATGTGAGTAATGAATATAGAAATACCTTCCACCAACGCTTATGCCTTACTGAACTTCAAATACCTTGTTTTGTTGGGTTTTGGTAGTACTAGGATTGAACTCGGGGCCTCATGTTTGCTTGGTAGGTACCCTACCACTTGAGCCACTCCAGAAGCCAAAATAACTTATTTTTATGAAAAATATCTCATTAAAATATTGAGAGTATAAAATTATTTTTCAATTTGTTAAATAATCAGAGAGTCTACAATCTATATTCTCTAGTCCCAGTCCATATTTAATTAAAAATTAGCAAAGGACAACATGAAAGGAAACTATTTGAGGCCAGTGATGGTTCAGGCCTGTAATTTTAGTACTTCAGAGGCTGAGGCAGGAGGATTGTAAATTTGAGGCCAGCCTGTGCTATGTAGAGACATTCCCCATCAAAAGGGAAATTATTTGGAAATTTTTTAAATTACCTGTATTACAACTCCTGCATTCATTTTTTAAATCACTGCATTGCAGGACTTTTTTTTTTTTCTTAACATTGAACATATCTTTGGGAAAGGGAAAGGTATTCTTTCTAGGATCAAGGCCTCAAGTGTAAGAGCATCAAGGATATAGAAAGTAAGAAAATATAGGAAAGGAAATACAATCTGATTTGGACAGATAACTTAAGTGTTTTTAGATATGGGAATGTAAACATGGATTGCGTGTTAAATAATACCAAGTGATTGTTCATTTTGTTAGACATGATGACATAGCATGTGTGTGAGTGCCAAAGCTTCTGGTGGTAGCAAATCCCTGCCCAAATTCCTGATCCACACAATCATATAAAACAATAAAATAGCTGTTATAAACTTTACATTTTTGTTTTATTATCCTTATAAATTCTCTTTGAGAATTCATATGGGAGATGGAGTAATGAATTATAGGAAGAAATACCTTCCACCAACGCTTATGCCTTACTGAAACTTCAAATACCTTGTTTTTGAGGGTTTTGGTAGTACTAGGATTGAACTCGCCTCATGTTTGCTTGAGGTACCCTACCACTTAGCCACTCCAGAACCAAAATAACTTTTTTTATTGAAAAATATCTCAGTAAAATATTGAGAGTAAAAATTATTTTTCAACTTTGTTAAATAATCAGAGAGTCTACAATCATATTCTCTAGTCCCAGTCCATATTTAATTTAAAAAATTAGCAAAGGACCAAACCATGAAAGGAAACTATTTGAGGCCAGTGATCTCAGGCCTTGTAATTTTATACTTCAGAGGCTGAGCAGGAGGATTTTAAATTTGAAGCCAGCCTGTCTATGAGAGGACATTCCCCATCAAAAGGAAATTATTTGGAAATTTTTTTAAATTACCTGTATTACAACTCCTGCATTCATTTAAATCACTGCCATTGCATGACTTTTTTTTTTCTTAACATTGAACATATCTTTGGGGAAAGGAAAGGTATTCTTTCTAGGATCAAGGCCTCAAGTTAAGAGCATCAAGTGGATATAGAAAGTAAGAAAATATAGGAAGGAAAAACAATCTAGTTGACAGATAACTTAAGTGTTTTTAGATATGGAATGTAAACATGGATTTGCGTGTTTAAAATAAATTACCAAGTGATTGTTCATTTTTGTAGACATGATTGACATACATGTGTTGAGAGTGCCAAAGATCGTATACAAAAGTTTAAGGTGATTTTTTCAATTTTCTTTTCATGGCCCGTGATTTGCCCGTTAAATATCATATGTCACGTAATTGTATTTCTGTCAACAGTGGACCACATATGTGACAGTGGTCCCATAAGATTTTAGCACCTAGTGTTGCACCCCTCTTAGGATTTAAAGATTCACTCTGTGATGGATGGAATGACCTAAAGATGATCTCTCAGAATGCATCCCCGGAAGCAACTAGAGAACAAAAGAGGAGGATGGATGAAAGAAGATTGGCAAAATGTTGCTGAGTGTTGAATGTGGATGAAGGGTGTATAGGATTTATTGTGCTGTTTTTACTACCTTTACGTCTAGTGGAAAATTTCAATAATAAATTTTTAAGGTAGAAAATCAAACCTGAAATTTTGGCCTATTTAGCAACAAATAAAATTTGTGGAAAATCACCAAAGCTCTACTTGGTAGAAAATTTAAAACAATGAATTTAGAAAACCTGGATCAAGAAATCAGTATTTGTCTTGTTCACCATCTTGTTCCCACATCTACAATGCCTGTCACGTAACAGGCAATTAATAATTGTGACAAAAATAAGTATTGATTTAAGCTGGAAGATAATATTTTTAAAAAGAGAAGGTACAGGAAGTAATTTATATGGCAAAAGAAAAGAAGAGAACATTAATACAGAACTCAGTTATTGAGGGGGGAAGAAAGATAAGAAACATGAGCACTGTATCAAGGAGATTTTTAAAACTTAAACTAAACCATACACTTACTTCAACATTTATAAATAGAGAATGAATTGTCTAGAGAAGCCTAATAATTATAAACAAGCCCTTGTACTACTTGAGCACACCTTCAGTCCACTTTCACTCTGGTTATTTTGGAGATGGGGTCTCGTGAACTATTTTCCCAGGCTGGCCTTGAACCTCCATCCTCCTGATCTCCGCCTCCCAAGTAGCTAGGATTACAGGCAGGAGCCACTGGCACCCAGGACAATGGGAAATTTTAAAATGTAGTTGTGGTCTTGTTTTTTTAAAAACTAGGACCTAGAGTTTGTCAGGTAACAGAAAATTTAAAGAATAGATAACCTCTAACAAAGTTCTACCAGATCATCCTATATAGAATATCCCAATAATAAAATTAGATGAGGACACCCCATCAAATGCAAAATCTGGACCCATTTCACTTATGATACATACAGACATTCCCAAAAAAGGATCAGTAAATTGAACTCAGTTATCTAAAAGAATTATAAAACATTAAATGACTTACCAGGAATACCCAGGGGTCTGACCTGTTATGATTTAATTGTGCATCCAGATTTTAGGGTTTTTGTTTTGTTTCTTGGTGCTGGGTTTTGAACTCAGGGCCTACACCTTGAGACACTCTGCCATCCCTTTTTGTAATGTTTTTTTCTGAAATATGGTCTTGGTAACTATTTGACTTTGCTGGCTTCAAACCATAATCCTCCTGATCTCTGCCTTCTGAGGAGCTAGGATTACAGGTGTGAGCTACCAGTGGCCAGCCATATTTTAAGAGTATTTTTGTACCTTATTTTTTGGTGGTGGTGGGGTTTGAACTCAGAGCCTCATGCTTGCTAAGCAGACACTTCACCACTTGAGCCACTCCGCCAGCCCTGTTTCGCGTTGGGAGTTTTTGAGATAGGGTCTTCCAAACTAATTGCCTGGGTTAGCTTTGAACCACAAATCCAGAGAGCGGTGATTTCTGCCTCTTAAATGGCTAGGATTACAGGTTAGAGCCACTGGCACTTGACCATCTCCTGGTTTATTGATTGAGATGGGGTCTCTAACCTTTTTTCCTATACTAGCCTTGAATCACCGTCTTCCCTATCTGCCCCTCCAATTAGCTGGGATTATAGGTGTGAACCACCACTTGCAGTCTCCCACAGTATCTTTATATTATTTCTCTTAGTGTTCTCATTTATGTTAGCTTCATCAACTTTACTAAAAGAATGAACAATGCATAAGAAAAATAGGAATTCAACATTAAAAACATTACCTTCTGCTGTGAGAGAATACCATAACCAGGTGTGGTGTTGCACACCTGTACTTCCAGCCTTCAGGAGGCTGAGGCAGGAGGGTAATGAATTAGAGGCTAGTCTGAACTACATAACAAGACCCTGTCTCAAAAACCCACAGAACAGAAATTAATTGATCTGTAGTTCTGGTGGCTGAAAGGTCCAAAATTGAGAGGTTGGCACCTGATGAAGTCCTTTTGGCCCTCTCATCCCACTGTGGAAGGGCAGAGTAAGGATGAGAGAGAAAGGAGCAAACTTGTCTTTTTATAAAGAGCCCACTCTTGTGATAATAGCATCAATCCAGTTATGAAGACAGCCCTTGTGGCCTAATCACTTTCAAAGGTCTCACCTCTCACACTGTCCTATTGGTGGTAGGTTTCTGACACATGAACTTTGGGGGACAAAGCTAAACCTCAGCAACTTCAATAAAATGACAAGTATTGCCACAACTGTTTTCAACCAAATCTCTCTAATGCCACTGACATATGTTAAGATTTGCACAAACAAGTCTATTTTTTCTGAGATTAGGCAATTGTCACTGATGACTCATCATATAGAATAATATGCCTTTCCCACTTAGGATTTCAAATTCTTTAAAATTTTTAAACAGATGGGGCAAAAGAAGTACTTGTAAACAGCAAAATGTAACACATTTTAAGTCTTCTAATGAAATTAGATTTTGCTATTAGGTCAATGTGTTTCTCCTCTCATAACATTTTCAGTTCAAC